CTTATGGAATGACTAAACCTAATATGCACAGTCGACTTTGCTCGTCATATATATAAAAGGATTATGCCTCGACAATCCAAAGCAGTCTACACACCCCCGTACAAAAACACTCACTACCGGTTAAATCCGGTATATGCGATTTTGCATTACAGCCCAAATGTTCGTACGCAAAGGTCCTAAGGGACTTTCTTTATCCTCTTATAGAACGTGTGACGTGGTTGGCATCCTGTAGAACTGATGAAGGGTTTCGGAGAATGCACACTCGCCAATAAGAAGCAAATAATTATTATTTTTTTTTTTCGAAAAAAAAAACCACTTAAAAAAGTTGGGTAAATTTAATTTGTTTTGTCGTTTCGATAAACGTGATTAGATTATAAAAAATAAATAACATTAATCAACAAACATTTACTGAGAGCGCTAAACCTACTATATAAACTTGTTTTAATGATTTTTTTTTTTTTTTGTGAACAATATAACATCAAATTTCTATTAACTAATTTGTATTATTCAAACACTTTTCGAAAAAATACCACGAACTCAGATTCAAAGATATTTAGATAAAATGATTAAGATTACGATTTTTTGAAATTAAAAATAATTTTCTAGTGTCAAGTAGGGAAATTGTTTCATTTAAAATCAAATAACATTTAAGTCGACGATTTTAAACGAGTAAATACGGATTCCGTTGTTAATTAAAACACATGAAACAGGTACGTGAGACGAATTTAAAGTAATCATTTTATTACGCCAAGACCCGCAGTCCCTTTCGGTAGTTTACATTTCGTTTATCACCCTGCAAAGCAATTAAACGAAGAGCCTAATCTACAAACATCTATTATTCATAATGTTAAATCTTAATATGATTGAAAGTTAAGAACAAAAATAATAATGTTGGTTATTTTTCCACGATCAACTTACTTGTTTTCTGTATTTTTTTCATCATAATAATATACAGGGTGTTCAGTAAGTTAGGAAACAAGTTTCTATTGTTCTCATTGTTTATAACAATTTACCTGTTTCCCAACTTACTGAACAACCTGTATATATTTTATACATTTAAACAAGCAAATATATTCAGTTTAACTTGTATTTCACTACTCATGAACATTTTCTTTATAAAAGTGTTGACCTTTTTTGAGAGTTTTTAGAGAAATGGGCAATATTATAGAATGAAAAAACGGAAAAAAGGTCGTGCAAATATATTATTTTTAAAATAGCTGTCGATCTTTGTACCAATATCTACGCAATAGTCTTCTAAAAGTGAAAAGTAACATGTTTATTTGGCGTTTTATTTAGGCCGTGTGTATTCACCAGGGTGCCGTACACCGATTTTACGATACAAACGTGTGATGATTATTTGGGTTTCAAATGCAATATTGTGTATCATTGGCCACGTTTAATACAACGCTTGTATTAGATTAATTTTTCATAGTCTTAGTCGAATTTTAGAAACATTTCATATTTACTTGAACGTGATGCGATGATACGCACGTTTTCAATTATTCATTGAACGCTTTTCTTCACTTTGTGAAAGAGTATCAGTTTAAGACGATTAAAACTACTTAGTACTATTATTCATAATTCAAATTGAGTTCTTATTTTCTATCTCGACGAAAACATAAAGCGACGAATTCCATTATTCTGGTAGAATATTATTATTAAATCTTGAGAAAATTATTTCATACAAACCGTTAGAATCAGAATTTAGATGATCTCTTTGAAGAAATACTTACTTCGAAAAATAAATTAATTTCTTTTGTATTTTATGCAATATACACAAAATTATGAATTAAATTAAAAGTGGGGACGATTTTCATGATCAAAATTTGTTTTAATATATGATTTAATGAACGATGCTTTTACGACAAAGCATATTTCTTAAAATCTTTTTTGACGATGTTAAAATTTTCAAAATTAATATCACTCGAAAATTGTATACTACTAAAATTACTATTTCAGATTTTTCTCCTGTAGAATTAAACATTTTTTTACCACAATTACTAAAAGTATGTAACAAAATTAGGTTATGATTTCATAAATAACCGATAGATTTAACTTAAGATACTAGAAATAATAACTATCTCGGAGAAGAGCATTGTGTTATATAATATATGTGACGCCAACAACCCTCCACACAGAATATATGAGCGTCTGGTGCCATAAAACGGTCATAGAGCGTATAAATGTTAAAACTGCAAAATACGAGATCTAAGAGTGGTTTTATTCAATAATATAATCAGTTTTATTGTTAGAAAGACAAACATTACAATAAATCTCGACACAATTCTTAAACAACTATTGAATATAATATTTCTGAACTCAACATAATTATTTGAGTCTATAAAATAATATCGTTTTTGAGCCTAAATTAGACTTAAAACTGAATGTATCATATTTTTTTATATGTATGTAAAAATATAATAGGTTAAAAATTATACTTATAACTTACATGTATCATACGCTTCAAATTTGCATTTAGTATATTATAAATTCTAAAAAAGTATTTATGCGATTTTGTTAGTTGAGAATGAAAAGGTTCTACCACAATATTTTTAAAAAACTTTTTTTTTATGAATCACAATGAGTCAATTAACCTCAATTTCAATAAATAAAACTCTAGAGTTACAATATTAATATATTTCCTTATGAAAAATAGACTAAAAATCCAAAATGTATTTTAATTTTAGACTACGACCATTAAATTTCTTAATGTCGAAAGGCGATTTATTTTATTAAATCAACTCTTTTTATTATACTAAAAATATTTAAAAAATAATAGTTGATTTGTGAGTAACAGAGAATGAAAAAATTCAAAGTACTAAAACCGAATAAACTATGGTTAAATTAAAATTTCTTAACTTTGACTAAATGGTATTCCCACAGAACGGTATTTTATAATTTTTTGATAAGAATTGGTATTATTACATTATTAATTATCATTATTTATGCAACTATTTTTTAAATTTATATTTAATATTAATAGTTGAATTACATAATATTGATATTAATCCATTTTAAAATTGTATCTAATCAAACTAAAATAAGAAAGTCCTAAATAATATAATATATCATTTATATATCAGATTGAAAATATTTTAGCATATAACCTTTTCATTCATTCTCAATTTCATAAGACAATAATTTGTCATATACTCATTCCTTAGCTTATAACTAACAGATAATTGATAATCAAAAAATGTGCGTTAGAACCTTTACATTGTAAAGTTATGATTTTTCATAATATCGATTTATCAATCTAAAAATAATTCGCTATAAGGTTATCTTTATCGTTTCACTAAACGTTTTATTAGTAACAATAATTCATAGAAATATACTTCAATAAATAATTCGAATGATATTTATTATAGCTCGTATGGACTATTTAAAGCAATAAATAAAGCAATAACAGCTACGTGTTAGCAAAACACTCATTAATGGTTTTTTCCTGTTTAATAAATCGAGGGCTTATGATGCCATCGGTATAAAAATCAATTCTATAATTTTTTATTTTTTTTCTCATTAAATCAAGATGAGTGTGGTATAAAAAATTTATTGATGATGATTAAATTTGAATACATTCAATCATTTAATTGAATTGGAAACACTTAAAATGACCTCAATAAAAAATGTTTTTTAGATTGAAAAACGAGATTGAAAAATTGTCCAACACTACAAATAGTATAATGACTTTATGCATAAAATGATAAATTAAAATAACTTGAAAGTTGTGCCCAAGTACTGAAAATATAGGTTTTATCATTATATTTATTGCAAATTATAATTAAATGATAGTTTTTTAAATACATTATTTTGCCTTTAACACGGCTACTTAGTCTTTTTTAATTAAAAAATCATTAATAGATGAGTATTTACTATTATAATTGTCAGTTCATATTATATCACATATAGACTTAACTTTTCAACTTTTGATGTTAATGTTATATCTTGGATTTCTCAACGTAAGCGCATTAGAATTGCCTATTTTATGTGCCGTACTAATAGATTTAACTTCAAAAGTACTGACATTTGCATATATCATCAGCTAACAGAAATTACTTATGGGATTCATTCTGTTAGACGTAAGCCTGTTTAAGTTTTAAATCCACGAGCTTGGTTAAAACTTCGATGGAAAACGGGAAAAGCGTTAATCCATTACTGCTTCTGGTAAGTTAGATATATATATATACGTATCTGTCAAATAATGTTATAAAAACGACTATGAGAATTGAAAACCAAGAATTTCAATGGAAAAGTTAGTTGACTGATTGTGAAATTGTCATTTAAAGCCATATAATTAGATATATTTGTATTATATTACACTGAGAATCATATCGTCTTGCTTACAATATATTTTTCGTTCAGCGTGTTAAAACATTTGCACTTAAAATAACTTTGATCGGATCATGTCATTTTTGCTAAGACACTTACCCCTCGTACCACTCGAATGTATAAACGTCAATTAAAATAATAGTAATAATTTTAATAGGAAGTAATAAAAAAAATATTTTGTTTAGAGTATTACTACCATAGCGAAATATTTATTTAATAAATGACAAAGTCAAGTAATAAAACAGTAATTGACTTTTTCATTCTCTATATCAATTATAAACCTATCAGTGAAAAGTTAAAAAGAAAAAAAGGAAAAAAATGAAATTTAATTGAAAAGTAGGAATATTGGTAATTAGCATAATATCTATTAATCTATTTCTGTATCCGTTTATTTTGTGGAGACGATGAAGTGTAAGGTAATAGGTAGTAAGGCCATAAAAGGCGGTTTTAATTAATCATACAATATTTTAATTTAAAATTTAACATTAAACATTTTTTTATTATTTTTAATGAACTTGCTTTTAATATTTAAATTTTATTAATTTACTAGTGTATTATCAAATAGTGATTCTTTTGTAAAAGTATTTTTATAAAGATTGTTAATACATTTGTGTTAAAATAATAAGACGCAGTACATTTTACATTCTATAGGTGCTCTCTGTCCCACTTACCTTTAAATAATCTTGTTTTTCTTCTCTGCAATCTAACGGTGGCTTGACGAATTCAATTCGACCACTTTCAATACAAATGTTAGGGGTCGTACTACTGTTGAGGGTGGCAGTTTTGTTGTTGTTTCCTAAATTAATTTCATCACCAATAGGTGGCGACACAGTTTCAGATTTTTTATTGTAACTTAAAACTTTAGAATCTGACATCAGCATTGGCTTAAGTGTCTCGTAAGTCATATGGTACTGAGAGTGTTCATCATGTGCTGGATACATTTTTCTGTAAAAAAAAAATATTTATAGAAACTGAGCGAGTAAAAATAATAAAATAGCAAGACTTTTTTATTATTAAATGGTACAGATATCTGTTCCATTTAGTAATAAAATTTTCTTATTTTATTTATATCGATAAGTATAAATCATGAAAATAGAATTTTTGTTGTTAATTCACATACGCAATAAAGGACTGTAAGGATCTATAAAATAAAATATTGAATTTCTGATACAATATATGTTTGTACTATAAAATATCTATTAGCTTTACAATTTTTTTTCAAGCGAAACTTGAATTACAACTTTTACATTAGTGGTTTTTTTCTTATTTAGTTATTTATAAAAAAAAAATGAACGGTGTAAATTTCCCACTTTCTTACAGTGATAACCGCAAAGTTTAAAGCCACACAATAAATATTCAATTGCATATTTATTAAACTTAAGGTGTTATTTAATTAAGCGAAAAAAAAACGTCGAACGCAATATTATGTTCAGCCGACATTAATGTAAACTCCCTTGAAATTGCCACATGACAATATTTCAGGGGCCCACGTCACCTCTATAATTTACGCTATCATATGATTCAGTCTGAAATTAATCAAGGGCTGTATCAGAACACAACGTTGCCTCCCATAACCAGAACTCAAAAAAGGGTTCTTTGTTCAAGATAACTCAAAAAGATTATTTTTCCATAGAGTTCCAGTACAAATATTTTGATTTTATTGATATTTACAATTCCTTTAAGTTGTTGACATATGACAAGGTACCGTGTCACATAATAAGACTATATTTTGATGCATGGCTTTCGTTTATAGATAATCGTGTATTTAAATATATATATATATATATATATTCATACTGATAAACAATTTAATTTAGCTTCGGCTAAAGTCATTATCCTCAAAAATTGAAAAAAATTTCCCTCGTTCACCAAAAAAACTACAATTTTATAAATCAGTAATTTTTGACATTTTTTTCTTAAAACTACCATAACTTTTGATCAAATCAACATAATTTTTTTTAGCTTCGATGCGAAGCTGAGAAGGTATTTTATATTTAATCCTTAGATATTTTCCTTTCATATGATATCATTTTTTTTTTAATCTAAACTAAACCTGCTCACAGGAGGGGAATTTAAAATAGCAAATTTTTTACAAAACTAAACTTTTTCAACTTAACTTTTGAAAATGTTCTGGAAACACTGCGTCCTTTAAACATATATAAAATTAAAGTTCATGTCATGTACTATAAAATGAAAAAAAAAATTTAATTCAACGAATTATCAACTATGCCCAAATAGGAACTATAGTTTAAAAATATGCAATTTCGGTGTTAAAATTTTCGATTTTATATTTTCAAATTTAAATTACTATAACTTTATGAAAAATTTATGGATCAATACAATTTATTTTTCATAACTACTTTATGTTTACTTCTTTCATTTGACACACTATTTTTTAAATTGGACCATTTCCCATTATACAGAAGGGGTTTAGAACTTGAAACATACGTATAAAAAGTAGAACTTTTTCAATTGAATTTTTGAAAATGTTCCTGAAATATTCACACTTTTATTTAAACTTAAATTAAAGCTTATATTATATACTTTACTATGAAAAAAAAATTCGAAATATAAATTTTCTTCTTGGTAAAATTAGCTACCGTATTCAAAAATATGCTATTTTTGTGTTAAAATTTTGGATTTTGTATTTTATTATATTTTAAAATATCTTATAAGGAGAATACACTGACTTTCATGAATATTATATAATTTAATTGACATAGAATAAAGTTTATAAGACATGAGAAATTATACTTATTTAATTTTTTTTTGCTTTTTTAAAGTCGAAAAAGGTAACTTATAAATTTAAATTAGCTTATATTGCTAATTTTATCATGCGACGAAAGCGACGAAAAGTTGCCGAATCGGTAACACTTGTGTCTTTTACGCTTAGGGTAAGAAGTTCGAATCCGCTGTGGCAATTAATATTTTGCATTTTTTTTAAAATTATATTTGATATTTTATAATTTTACTTTGAAATTTATAAAATTTTTTTACTCTATTTGTGTGTGCTACTACCAGTCTATAATATTCCAAATCTTTTCGTAACATGTTGTTATACAAATTATAAATCTTAAAAAAAAAATGATTTTTAGTTTCACCTGAATTTAACAAAAGATGAAATAAAAAATTTGCTGTACATAGTAATTATAAAATTTTCTGACTGCATATTAATTTTAACAATACCATTTTTTCTATTTAATAATGTCAAATTCAAACTTGCAAATTGATCTAAAAGTTATGGTAATAAATTCTTTTTTTTTTATTATAAACTTTCATTTTAATGGACAAAAGAAAGTAGGTTAAAAATTATTACTTTTAACATATTAAAAATAAATAATAATTTGAAAACAATTAATTATAAATATTATATAATATATAATTAAAAAAATTACTAATCTGGATATAATTAAGGAAATAAAAGTTGATGTTGCTTTAGTAATTATCTACCAATTTCTTAGAATTAATTACTATTTACAGATTTGCATCGAAGCGTTTCTTATGATAGTGATTAAAATCACTGTCATATTAAATCTATACTGGTTCCAACTATGCCACGTCCCAACAGTGCTGGGTTTTTTTAGTTTAATTATTTCTCAAGTAGTAAAATAATACAAAAAATATACTTAGTGACCACATTAAGTCTTCTGACATAGACATAAACAAATATTTGCTATAAAAAAAAGAATAGAGGGTGTTATTTAACTGTTAAAGAACATGAGTCAATATTGACAATGCTAAATTGCTTAAGGTCATACTATGTTTCTAACTCATGCACTTCAACTTTCTTCTCCATAAGTAATATAATTTCAAAAATCGCTTCAAAACAAATAACATCCACCCATCTTCTGATTTTTTACTATATGCTTAGAAAACAAAGTGAATTTTTTAATTTCTGAACGGTTTATTTAATAATTAATTGGTTTTAAATTCATCATAAACTGATTATTTATTGTACAATATATTCAATTAGTGTTTTAAATATATCATTGAGTAGGATCATAAATAAAAAACCACAATATAAAGCATTTTCACGTATTTGTTTTATTGCTGATAGACAGTGGTTAATTTTTTGTTTCAACTCCATAAAATAGGAAGAAGTGTTATTCCTTAACGAAAAATACAACACTAAGTCATAACAATATTCTAGTAAACACTGTGTAGGCTGAATTTTTTTTTACTTAGAGTAGTTGTACATAGAAAAGTATAAAAGTAATTATTATTATTAGTGTTACCAAGTAGGCGTAAAAACTATAAGTACACAATATTATATTGTTGTTTTATTAAGCATAACACATCAATTGTAAAGGTTCAAACGTTTAATAATAACAACAACACAATACTTTCAAATGTGGCGAACTAAAAACTTATCATTGAACACTCATATTGCTATCGAATAAAAAGGCATTCAATTATCCTTTGAAGTTTTCGTTTTATATGCATTTATTATTTTTGAATGATATCTAGTACACATTCTCAAAAATAAATAATTTTTTAAAAAATACAAACCAAATTATTAAATTTTTAGTAGCTAAAATTGTAAAAACAATTTTTTTTTAATTTGAGTAATTGACATGATTTGCACTTTTTTCATACTTAAAATAAAAGCATGAACTTTTATATTAATTTTTAGTCATATATAAAATACATTTTGCAATACTTAATAGAAATAATCTTTAATTTATTTTTATTTACAAGTTATATTACGCGGGCCGTGTCATTTTCAAACATTTTTTAGTATATAAATCATGAAATTTGTTAAATGTACTTTCAATGTCCCTTACTTTACAAATAATAAGCTGTCGTCATTATTTTATAAGACATTGGTTAAAATATTAAGAAATAATTTTTAATTAATCTAAAAATATCAAATTAAAATTTTTGAACACTATAAATTATTTACTAAATAAATTTAAGATTATGCATAAACATGTGTTAATACTTAAATATAGTATCACATTTTAATTCCTTTTAAGTTATATAAGAATTAAAACCTTCATCTAACTTAAAACAATTTTTAACAACAAACTCTAATGTAAGCATTTAAATATTTAAACAATACAAATTTGGTAAAACTGTCAATTTTTGGTGACATTAATATTGTTTAATATATAAAACTAGACAAAAAATATTTTAGTTTTTAGAAATTAAAATACTAGTTAACATTAGTATTTATTATTATTTTTTTTTTTAAACACAAATACAATTTTCAATATGCTACACTCATAATTTATTTTATTATAAAGTACATTTTTATACTCCTAAAATAATAACATCCTACAGAGCATATTGAGACACATTCTATATAATGATATAAATGATAAATTGAAAAATGTAACATCTATATGAGTTCCTTTACAGTTTCAAAAAAAACTGAATTTTTACGGTAAAAGTTGATTGAAGTAAAATATCGCTTTTTTTAAATTGGTAAATAAGATTTTTTCATTAGAACAGTAATATTAGCTTCGAAGTGAAGCTGAGAAGGTATTATATTACTATATGCCTTTTTTTTTTTGTCTGTTATTTACTTGTTCTCAATTTTCACTGAACCAATTTCTTTCAACGATACGTCAAAAGACCATAAATCGTATCTTGTCGAAGGAATTATCCTCAAAAATTGAAAAAATTTCTCTCGTTCTCAAAAGAAATCTCCAAAAAAATTACAAATATAAAAATCAGTAATTTTCGACATTTTTTCAATTTTTTTATTCAAAACTACCATAACTTTTTGAAAAATAGATGAATAAAAACAATTTTTGTTTTTTTAGATACATTAGGATTTACCTATCATTTGGTAAATATTTTTTTTTAATCTGACCCTTTACCTGCCCACAGGGGGGATTTAAATGACAACCTTTTACAAAAAATTAACTTTTTTAATTTAACTTTTGAAAGTATTTCGGAAATACTGACAATTTTATATATATTTAAATTAAAGTTTATGTAATGTACTTCAATATGAAATAAACAATTTCTAACTTTGTCTTCGTGGTGAAAATGACTACCGTATTCAAAAATATGTTATTTTTGTTTTAAAATTCTCAATTTTCTATTTTTAACTTTATATTTCTATAGATATGTCATTAACAAAGAAAATAATTTTTTATTTGTAAGCTAGTTAAATATAATGCTTGCATTTCTAATTCGTACCATTTTTATTTAGTCAATTACAATTTTTTCTATCAATACCTTATCTTTAGGCAATATAAAAATGGAAGCCGATCTAATTTAATACGTATTTTTATACAAATGCGTATAAGCAATATAATCATCAGTGTATACTATACCCACCAGAGGGCTTTTAGTGTTTGGCCTATAAAGCTTCGATCCGTACGCTAAAAACAGTAGTTCAAGGCCACAGTTTCGCCCTTTGCAAGTATTTACCCATAACTACTCACTATTCAGTTAGCCACAATAACTCACGCCCTCGGTCAGATAGTTCTTTTTTCCCTCTCTGTAACAGCTGCAACTAACGTGTTGTGTAATATGGTATCAATTTTCATTTTATTTCACATCAATATTTTCAAGGTCCTGTTTATGATTGTTATAATTTCTAATTTATTAATAATTTAAATTTACTTCTGCAAATTAGACATGTATTAGGAGGTGACTCAGGAAAACGATTGTTTTTGGCATTATTTTTTTGGCAGTAATATTTTAGGTGAAATTTTAAAAGTTCACATTATTTACACCTAGTAAATATGGATCTAAAAATAACAAATAAAATATACAGTGGTTAAATGAAAACGGAAATTCGGATTATGAATGTTTTTTAAATTATACAATAAAATACTCTTTGTTATTATTTGTTTATTTTTTTATGGTTACTAAGATTAAATGACAAAAACTAAAAAAATGCTAATATTTTTGGAACTAGCAATTTAATACTTGTTGTAGCAATAAAAATATATTACACTTTAATAAAGAAATTAACGACCGCAAGTTTCAATATGTCTTTTACAAGTACCTGTCATTAATTTAAACCTACATAGTAACAAAAGGTTTCACTGCAGTACATACTCAATCAATTTTATTTCCTTTTTAATTGTGACACTATACATTAACTGTACATTATGAAAATATAATAAAAGCATTCAGTTTACTTAACACTAAATAAAATAAAAATTATTTGGTTAAAAATTTGATATCTTGATCGTTAAATTGAATTCTTAGTTCTTAAAAATACATGCACATCACATATGTTTAGTAAATAATAAATTGACAAAAACATAATGAACAAAAAAATACACATTAAAAACTATAAAAACTCCATATTTAAAAAAAATTGTATTTTTATGTATGTATCTGCAATACTATAAAAAAAAGAACAAGAGATTATTAACTAGTACATCACTATAAATCGGTTTGATTGCTTGACATATCAGTATAGTTATAAATACTACGAAGAATTGAAGTTAGCATATATGTAGGATTTTCTTGATTAATTTTAAAATGCCCATTTTTTAGCTCTTTTCTTACTAGAATTTTAATGAATCCATAATAACTGTAAAACAAGTACCTATATAGTTACAAACATTTTATTTCATAGAGTGAGTATGTAGCTGTTCTTATTAGAGATAAACATTAAGAATTACTGTTAAGTTGAAATAAATACAACTGCATCAAAGAAAAATTGAATTGTTTACACTCGATTCTATTTGTACATTTTGAATTCGATAAATTTTAATACATGAATTTACATATTAAGAATTAATCACTTGTAGCTAATATTATTTAAAATATCAATTTAAAACTAAAAAATATTTAACTCAAAAAGTTACAAAAATTATTAAACAATGGCATTTTCACCAGCGCTAAACACAACTGTAGTATCAGTAAATTTATTATTTAAATTTATACATGAATAACGTAAGATGCAAATTGTACGTATTAAAATTGATTTTTTTCTACATTTGGTTTCACACTAATCACATTATCTTAAAAACCCACTTCTAGATATAAAAATTACAATCATATAAAAATTAATAATTTTCTTTAATGAAGTCAATTTTTGTTTTATATATTTTTAGTATTTCAATATTGTTTAAACTTAATTCTATACAAAACGATTTTTTTTAAACTCCTCTAAAATACCTTAGTATAGATTCTTAATATATTTAGATTAATGTTAATAATTTTGATCCCTCAAATATCAAGAATACCAATGACCAAATTAGCTAGTCATTTTAGTTTACCGTGTAAGTTTATTATTAGGTGATAATATCTTACAATACATTTATGTACATCCTCCACATGACGTCGTGTCCGAAGAAAGATTTTGTGAGTCACGAGGTCGCTACCCCAGCTAGTAGGCCAAGTGTGTGATATATGTATACTTACTAAAGCATCACATTAACATAAACGTATTGTATTGATGGGGGAATGACATGGCATGTATTGTACAAACATAAGGCAGATAGGATCGAAGATTTAAAAAGTAATAATGTTCATCATGTTGACGATATTAGTGTTTGATACATTATATGTACATACGCCGACAAAAATATATTTTTCCATTCCATGTCTTCGATTTCATAAATAATCTTTTGACCATGCTATCCCAATTCAAAAACTCAATTTATTTTAATAAAATGATTCAATTAATGTTATAAAACCGATTTTTATGTTGGACTATAACTAATACAAATTACTTAAGAAGATTACTTAAATTACTTGATTATTAAAAAAATATACTTAAATGTTCATACATAAACTATTAAATATTTTATTAGTCGACTTAAGTTTAATTAAATTTACAGTAGTATAATTTATTTTGATTAAATTAAAAAAAATAATTTAAATATTTGTAAAATATTTTCTGTAATCAAATGTTTTGTTTGAATAACTAATGGGTTTGTACCCATTTAATTAAAAATTAAAAATGGAACTAGAAATATCATGTTATAAATAATACAGAACTTAGTACCTGAAAATAATCATTTTGATCACGTTTATGAGCTGTAGGGTGTTCTAAAATAGTACATCGTAGCATGTCACAATAATTTTTATAAAAATCGTTAAAATATATACGGTTGTAACATTTGTAAACTACAAACAGAATATAGTTTGATTGAGAATAACGGATTTGTTGTGATACACGTTTCCTAAATCAAAATATTTTCGTTTCGGTATTAAGTTTATACAATGGATGAATTCACAACAAATCTGCCATAAACATAACAATCGGTTACAATATTAACTCGATATTTTGAAATTACAGAAATGTTGATATGCACTCGTATACTATGAAAAAAAATAGGATGTAAAATTTAATAAAACTTCTTCATTTCACAGAGATAAAATAAGTATAACTCTATCTATATTGATTAAAAAAATTATTAATTGAAAGTTAATTTCAAAATGCTATTATTTTGGTATATTTCAGCAAAAAAACCATACAGCATATCATTCAAAATTAATTTAGGTTTAATTTTATAAATTTATCACACATATTTACATTAAAATCGTCTAATTACTGTCGAATTCATTAATACAAAATATACAAATAGAAATTATCATTCAGAACACTCATCTGATTACCCGTCATAAATAACTTAGCTATTTAATACTAATTATCAATTATAGAATTTACTGTGCCAAGTCTCTAAACCCATTTTATATCAGGACTTCAGTCAGTTTAAATGTAGTTAATAATTAACTAAGAAATGAATGGTATATAATTTACCTGACAGAACATAATTTTTCAATGTGGGAGTCTGGTAAGACATATGCATTAATTGGTTCTGAGTATTCATTGTTGCATCTCAACATTAGATCATCACTGAGTTCACCGTTTTTGGAAACCCTGCAACAAACATTGTTATAGATATAAGTTATAATTAATTTCACATTTATTGTATGTATACCAAATTGAATTTTTCGATAAAAAAACAAAAAAGATAATTTAAATTGTAAATGAACTATAAACTAATAATATCATAGCAGGTGTATTCTATACGTAGTTAACAAGAGAAAGTACTTTTTGAGTTAAGAATTAATTCTAAATTGATAATCAATATAAAACTTTGTTACATTCAAGTTAGAATTAAATATAAATTGTTGAATTCGAGTACATTTTTTTTATATACATGTATTTGAATCATTTTTTATAAATTACTTTTATCACATTTGAATAAAAAGGTTTTAGACAATTTTTATACTAAATATAATATAGTTAATTTGACATACTTATGAACAATTTAAATATCAATCATAAATATTGATAATAATATTATTACATTTTACGGAAATTACATTACTGAAATAATTTTTAATCTTCAGTTTAACAAATAAATAAAACAACAACAGAAGGTCGTTGTTATTAAAATTTTATTTTAATATAATTTACTTTATCTGCAACTGTTTTATAGCAACCATGTAAAAATGTATGGCATATTAGGTATTACTTATGAAACGGGTTAGCGTGTTCAACTTATAAATGTGGGTGTGTGGGTATTCAAATTTTATTCATGTGTAAGATATTTTTAACAACTCTTATACATATATTTATTGACGGCCCACGACAACGGTCATAATTAATATTTTAGCCATAATAAAATCAGGTCGGAGGGCCATTAAACTATTTAGAACCATATTATTTAAGAAGTCATTTATCATTGGTAGCTGACATCACAACACAACGTTGTATGTAGTTTTTATTATATTATCATAATGTTCTACTGTTATGTTTCTTTTATTTTTACGTATGTAACAAGTAGTAATTGACTCTACTGTAAAAAACTAAAATTTTGGAAATAAAATTTGTTCTTATAAGAATAAACAGTCAGAATATTGTTTTGATGGAGAACCCAGCCATTCTTCTTCAAATCTGTCCGTTTCTATCTAATATGTTCTTTAAATTAAATTAACACTTTATCTCTGCTATTGCTCCAACACTTAATCGACGATCTTGCTGAATAAAGTTACAATTCTTTTCAATACTATTGTCAGTTGAATAAATCTTAGGACAACCAAAACGATTAGTCTTCAAAATTATCCCTTCTACTTCCAAACTGCTACTCAAAAATACGAGCTCTTGATACTCAATTTTTATCATAAGCTTGACATGCAAAAAGATTCTGCGGTAGTTTTATTCAATTAAACGAAAATTTCAATATTAACACGTTGTTCGATGTTTAAATCTAATATGTTTCGCCAAAATAGTGTAACAAAATATAAAATAAATATATATAATAATTATATTTCAACAATCAAGATGTAGATAACATTGTTACTTTATTATCAAACCTCATATTTATAGATTATTTATTAAATACAATATAATAATAAAAATAAATTAAACTAGATGGTAACTAGGAGGGTTAAAGGGGACTTAGCACCATTTAACGAATATATTCCCTCAAAAATGTTTTAAAAATATGTGGATAATTATATGAAAGTATATTTTGGGCGGGGAAACATACAATCATCAAAATTGTTTACACTAGTTGTGCCTGTAAATTAAGTTTACCGAGTAAATATCAGTGGACCTTCATTTCTAATTTCATGTTAACAAAAAAATATTAATATTAATCAATAATAATGAGTCTAAACATTATTTTTAATTGATCATTAGTAACAAAAAATATTGTGAATATAAGGAGTATATAAAATTCAAACTAAATTGTATTAATTCAACTGATTTTTGAACTTTATAGTTCAACAATATTTTACAAACAAAATTTGTAACTATCAATTAAAGTAAAAATTAAAATTGGATACGAATTTTATTTAATTAACAAATCTTCAGATAGTATACGAATAATAATGAGATATTTTGTCAAGTTATATGTAAAACTATGTTAAATTATTCATACAAATTTTTTATTATTTTCCATCTCTAAAATTATACTAAAATAAGAATAGTAAACATTAAGCTAATTCAAAAATTGAAATGTTTTCAGAATATTAGTAAAAATCTTAAAATTTCGAATTATTATACTAATATTTCCACAATATAGGGTAGCTGATTTGTTTTAAATTTATAAATTCTTTTGGGTAGAATATAAGGAAAACGAACAATTGAGTGTTATAAAACAATAGTAAATAATTTTAGATGATTTTTTAATTTTTATAAGTATTAAAAAGTAAATTCCAACTATTAAAACTAATAAAATACAAAAATGGTTATTATTTGTTAATTTTTGGAACATTTATAAAAAAACGTATACCATTTTTACCATTCATTTTATCTAAATGAAATATTTTTTTTATCTAATTTAAGAAGTTAAAAAAAATAGAATATACTTTTTTTATTACTATTTTTATATATATTGATCAAAAAACTCATATAAAATAATCAGTTTTTACCAATTTCAACAATTGATATATTATTTTACATTTTTATGATCCTCTAAAATATTTTGTATAAATTATAAGGAAATAGTTTCAAGTACTAACTAACTCTATCGTACAAGAATATTCATTAGATATAGTAATAAAAATGTCTCTATACTATATTATAACTTAAAATTCTCTTATGTTAAATAAATGTAGAGTCTAAATTTTAATGACGATTTTCTTTAAGTATAACTTTACATTTATATTTTTAATATACATTATATAATATTATAATATAAATAATTTACAAAAAAACGATTTAAAGAAAAAAACTATATTTGTTATTTAAATTAACAAAAATATAGTATAAGTTTAGTATAATTCTATTTTAAATTAATTTTTTTATTAAAATATAAATTAGTCTTTTTGATAAAGTGACACTAAATTTTTTTAGCTATTTAGAGTCAGTAAACTGTTTTAATGCTTCGGCTTAAAAGCTAAATTTACTAAGTACCATTTATTTGTATTATATTTATATAGTTAACACATAATGTGCACAAATAATTTAGTTTATGACAGCCTATAGGGCGTTTTAAACGCTTTTTGTTAAGTTAATTATCGCCAGTTTATAACTCTGCACTGCGGCTCTATTTCAACAATAATTGTTGTTAACCTTCTCTTTTGATCTCGAATAGATTAAAATAGTGGATGGTAGAAATAATAAAATATTACTATCCTTAAATATAAATCATTTTGTTTTAAGTTATATGCGTTCAAATTTGATGCAAGATAATTTTAAGTAAACTAGTCCATTATTAAATTAATTTTTGTTATATATTTTAGATACACAACTAAAGACAAGAATCTTACATTGAATAAGACACTCAATTGATTTATTAATTAAAATTATCATGAATATAGGTAATACATGTTAACCGAATAATTTCATATTTATATTTAAGAGACAAACGAAGCACGCGACTTCTCTATAATAATAATAGTTGTAATTAACAGAATAATGTGCATTGAATTAATAATTGTAAAACTTATTATTAATTTAATTTTTTTGTAAATTAACGGCTAAAACATTTTATTAGATAATTTTGTAAAATTTATCAGTTATAATTTAATCAATCAAATAATAATATATTAATACCATAATTTATGTGATGGAGTATACACTATTACAATTATTGTTAATACTTACAATTTAATATATTCAATAACTAAAAAATCCATCATTTTATAGCCCAATAAAATGAATAATTATAGAATTTCTGCGTAAAATACTTTATGAAATTAAAAAGAACACCTTATAGAAAAATAATGAAACATTATGTTAATAAGTATATATTCAAAAAAACGGTTGACTATTCAATTAAAATAAATTAAATATTAAATGCAAAAAACCAAACACATAAAAGATTTTTCAAAATATATGTTATAATTACAATGCTATCGTAAGTGAAGTTAATAAAACGAAACTTCATGATTTTTTTTATAAGTGCAAAACCTAAAATATATTAAATTATTATTATTAAAATTATACATGCCTTAAAGGATGTTTAAAATACCATATATAATTATTATCATACGTGTTTCAAGTAGATTACTTATACAATACAGCAAGTTTAATATCATAAAAAAAATTTCCCTTTCATTTAATCAATTGTAATTATGAAAATTCATTGTATACAAAATAGTATGAATGATGAAAAGCCTCAAGATCATTGGCGCCATCCGTGTGAGCAGTTAGAGAAAGCTGTCAGTGATTGTCTTCCTAAAGTAAAATCAGTAGACTTCTATTTTATTGATTTATATGTGTTATTAGGTTACTCAATTGTCCAGCCAAAAGAAATTAAGTTGCCAAACCTTAACGCCTTATAATAATTACAATTATTGTGTATTTCTATATGAAATTTAGTTGATAAAAAAATTTGATTTAGAAATCAAAATTTCAATTGCTAATAAAATATTATTAGCGTTATTTATATTATATAACAAAAAAATTTAATTGTAAATTTTTAAGGCCTATATTATCAATAATTTTGTACATAGTTTCTATAAATTTCAAGTCATCAGTTTATTAAAAAATATTCCAGGAAGACTTCATGAATAAGAACACTATATATATAGCTCAAAATAAACATAATAGGAAATTATAAATATAGGTCACATTAAACATTTAAGTCGAATACATGCCATTTATTGCATAAAAAAATGTTTATGCTTAGTACGTCTTCGAAATATGCTTTTTGGAATTGTAATCGATAATAATCCAAATAAAAATGAGTACACGGGAAGGTCAAAGCTATTTAAGGTTTAAAATTAAAAATTAAAATTTTTATTTAAAGTTTTAAAATGTTTGGTAATTTTATACTGAGAAAATTGAAATTTAGAGATATCATAGTATATTTCAATATTTTTGTATATTAATGCATTCTTCGGCTTTAAAATTTATCAACTTTTTAAGTGGATATATAAAAATATGGATTACAGTTATAAATGAAAACAAACATTATTTTT